AATAAAAAGGGCTCACAATATCCAGGAGAAGACGGGGAAGAAATAAGCCTGGGAGTGAGCAGAAACAGAGGCTGCTTCAGCAGACCCAGAAGCGTGAACCATAACAAGGGTCTTATTCTAGAAACAACTTGGACAGGGCACCAGACCAAAATCAAAGTGCCAATCTATCTGTAGCCTCTTCTTAATCTAGCCAATATTAAATTTCAAGAATAGATGTTTGAATGACTTAACATGGGTCATATGCTATGTTTTGGATAAATCAGGGAGCTTGATACATAAAACAATACTTAGGATGTAACATACTGTGAAAGAGACAGAGTCCTTCAGAATAAAATAAGGAAGGTAGAAGGAATAATGACCATGAATGAAGAAAAATCAGAGCTCTCTGAGATAAAGAACTATGGATGTAGTATTGGACTCATATTGTTGAAAGTCTTTCACATACCTCATCCTAGGAAGATTTATGTGACCACAACTACATCTCTTCCCTTTCGTTCAGTACTGATCCTTAATTCTTATGCTTTCTAGCTTAAGACATATATCTAAAATACATGATGAAAAAATGAACAAAACTTATTCAAATACTTACTAGCCTCAAAGAATACAATGACGGATGAGGCACAGTTCCTTTCCTTCACGAGTTCCCAGCCCGGGTGGAGAGTCAGCCATTTAAACCAATGGTCAGTGTGATATGAGTGACCATGAAGGCTATCACCAAGAATATGTTTTCCACAATATGATGTATATAACCTAAAGTTCAAAGCCATCAGATCTTTAAACTCTAATAGATACTTTTTGAAAACTTTTTCTAAGAAATATTGATTAAACCTGTAAAGGATAGATATATCCTGAGATTTATCCTTAGGTATATAATGTATATGTGTCATATACTTTGTCTAAAAACAGAATAAAAGCAACATGGGCACTATAATTTGTGAATAGTACATCACGCGTCCCCCACAGGGAACATGGCCAGCAACCCAGACAACCCAGACTGAGAATCGAACCGGCGACCTTTGGTTCCTAGGCTGGCACTCGATCCATAGCAGTCAGTGCTGAATGAGTTTTATATATCCATTTCCTTTAATGTTGTTATACATTCAATTAAATTTACAAGTGTGTTGGGACAACTGTTCAGTGATTCAATTTTTTAACAGAAATGAAATACACTAAAAATTCTTCTTCCCTGTTCGTGTGATTTACTCTGTTGTTTATGTTTTTACAGTTGTGGTTCTTATTGTGAACATCAAGGCAACTCTCCTTTGCCATTGTTTATTTATTCCTCTTGTTCTTTTTTCACATATTGCCTCAAACTATCTGTAATTTGTAGGATATGAGAAGAAAAATGGTTGATACTCAGCAGACTTTAGCAAGATTACATGTATGTGTTGATTCTTACATTTTTTATTGTTGTTCACTTACAATTATCCCCATTCTCCCCCCATTACTCTCCACTGCTCTACCCAACCCCCACCCCCACCCCCACATTCAATACTACCTCCTTTGACTTAGTCCATGGGCCCTTTATACTTGTTCCTTGACTTGGCCCTTCTCCTCCTTTGCCCCATTATCCCCCATCCTCCTTCCCTTTGGTCACTGTCAGTTTTTTTTTTTAAGATTTTATTTATTTATCTTTAGAGGGGAAGGAGAGAGGGAGAGAAACATCAATGTGTGGTTGCCTCTAGTACTTCCCCTGCTGGGAAATAGCCCACAGGGAACTGGTCTGCAACCCAGGCATGTGCCCTGACGTCAGTTTGTTTTTTTATTTCCATGTCTCTGGTTCTATTTTGCTTGAGTGTTTGTTTTGTTGATTAGGTTCCACTTATAGGTGAGATCATATGGTATTTGTCCCTCACTGCCTGGCTTATTTTACTTAACATAATGCTTTCCAGTTCCATCCATGCTATCCAGAAAGGTAGGAGTTCCTTCTTTCTTTCTGCTGTGTAGTATTCCATCATATAAATGTGCCATAATTTTTTGATCCACTCATTTACTGATGGGCACTTAAGCTGCTTCTAGCACTTGGCTATTGTAAATTGTGCTCCTGTGAACATTGGGGTGCATAGGTTCTTTTCAATTGGTGTTTCAGGATTCGTAGGGTATAATCCCAGCAATGGAATCACTGGGTCAAAAGGCAGTTCCATTTTTAGTTTTCTGAGGAAATTCCATACTATTTTCCACAATGGCTACTACACCAGTCTGCATTCCCACCAACAGTGCACTAGGGTTCCCTTTTTCCCCCAACCTCACCAGTAGCTACTATTGGTTGATTTGTTAATGATAGCTATTCTGACCAGTGTGAAATGCTATCTCACTGTGGTTATAATTTGTATCTCTCTGATGAGTTATGCTGAGCATCCTTTCATATGCCTCTGCACCCTTTCTATGTCCCCCTTGGAGAACTGTCTTTTTTAAACACTGTTATCCAACAGTGCCTATGTACAAGGGGCACTCCCCCAAACAGAATTATATTCTGGAGGGCAGAAGTCTTGTATTGCAGACTTCCTCAGTAGGTGAGTGTTCTAGGAACCATCTGTACCAGTGTACCACCTGGCTTTGTTGTGACAGGCTGCATTTGACTTCAGTGAATTTTTTTTTCAAGACTCTTCCAACCCATTTGCCCATTTCATGATGGGTGACTTACAAGCCAACCTGCTGAGAGGTCAGCAGTTTTTGACCAAAAACAGAATGATTGCCGTGCCCCACCCTCCCTATTCACCAAATCTTGCCCCAAGCAACTTCTTTTGTTTGTTTTCTGAAAAAAAAAAAAAAAAGTCCTCTGAGGGAAACATTTTGCTGATGTGTAGGAGGGGAAACATACAAACAAAAAAGCAGAACCACTGAAAAACGTCAAAATTGAAAGGTTCAAAAGGTTTTGAACAGTGAAAAAAAGTCTCTATAACTGTACTATATCAAATAGAGAATATTTTGAAGGTGACTGAAGTTTAAATATGTAAGAATAAAGATACAACTTTTTATAAATTAATTCTGTTTGGGGGGCCTCCCCTCTCATATTTAATATTCCCAAGCATTTTTAATTCTCTATTAATAATGTAAAAGGCATCACCTTTCTATAAACCTATCATTTCTGCAGGTTTCTCTACTTTTATAGAGATTTTCAGTTTTGTAGGTTATATTCTTTACTTTCAATGTGATCACTGCCCAATTTCTTTTGGATTGCCCAAATGAGTACTTCAGTTATTCCTTTGATACCAGCTCTTAGGTAATTTTTATGGCTCCTTTCTTGTTTTCCCTATCCTGTTCTCTTCTGTTCTGTTTTTCTTAAACGTTATTGCTTTTTCATTTTGACATCTCATACCCCTGCTTTGAAATATCCAATGGACACCCCTTTGGCTACTAAATGAAGCACACACTTTGTAGTTTGAATTTGGGATTCTCCTGCCTACCTCATAGCATTTCTCTCATAATTACTTTACTGATGCCTTCTACAGGGCTAAAACCTGACTCTTCTTCCTGCATATATTTCCTTGCAGAGTTTCTGTTGACTGGAATATCTTCCCCTCATTCTTGCCTTAAGCACTCAAAGGACCATTTTGAACATTACCCTTTTCATCATGCCTTCTCTTATTACCTCAAATGAAACTGACATTTGTCTCTTGAAAATATACACAACTCTGCTTGTGCCTGCTTTTATTAATCTGCTTTTTATTAGAACTATTTATGTGATTAAAAATCAGATTATGTAAGTTCTATGAAGACAAAAAGGACACCTTCCTCATCTTCATATTCCCCATCTAATATGGAACTGGCTTCTTTGAAAACATTTGTTCCCCTGTTCAAGTGTTTTCCTTATTTCCAGGAAGCCACAGAGGGGAGCTCTGAAGATAGAAGCCTTAAATAAGAAAGACCAGGAGAAAAAGAGGGAGTAGGACAGAAGTGCTTTCAGAATCTCATAAAATTTAGTAAAAATTTTCTTTAAGTATAAAGAAAAAGGAATTTATTTGCTTTATTTATTTATTATTACAAAGAAAGCCCAGTATTTAGGTGACTTAATACAGAAACTGTATTTGTCAACTAATGTGTTTTATTTTCTAGTGTTTATCTAGTATGCTACTAGTTCATTCATTGTTTTTATGTTTAATATGCAACTAATTTTATGAAAAATATTTTGTTTTTATTTTTATAAAATTATTATTTCTGTAAGAATATCCCCTTGCTAAGGAATGTAACTGCCTGTGTAAGCACAGTCCAATGCTGTTTAAAGTGCATCACAGGGGAACTTCAGTGGGTTTGAGGCTCTGACCAGGCCACATCCCAGCCTTTGTCTTCCTCTTGTCTTCTTCCCCTGTGGTCCACAAACACGAAAGGTTCAGGTCCAAGCAAGTTAGTGCTCACCGAGTTTAGTTTCTGTCTGTCCCATGACTGCGCTCTCACAGATTAAAAGGCAAAGCAGCATAATTACATCAGCTTTGCCCGAGAAACACATATTTGAGGAGACAGTCTTAGACCAGCCTATAGAGATATTTACATATATTAGTTATGGTATATCCTTCCCCAGCCAGAACCTGGAAAACTGCCTTTTTATTTTATTTTGTCAGTGAGTGTTCCTACAGAGAGGAATTTCAGAATGATGTTTTAGATTTCCATGGGTATAAAGTGGCCATTAATTAGAGTGAGGTTATAAAATATTTTCTTTCTTGCTGAGAAAATAAGGTATGTACTTAATAGTTCTCAGATATACTAGAAGTTAAAAGAAAGAGAAAATACAGGATTCCTTTTTTGTGAGGAACTAGGATTCTTAAAATAATCCCATTAGACATTGCTAATATGAAATTGAGTAGAAATTGTTTTGTTTAGTTTTAAAGTTAAGAATTTTAATGTATACACTTTCAGGTCTCTAATATATAGAAATTTGCATGTTATTCTTCCTCTTTGACTGTAATGCTGCCATTGTATTATATTTTACAATGTCACACAAATCTATTTGTTGAACTTATTTCTTGCTCTGAGTCTCTGCCTCTCTCTTTTGATGTCTGTAGCCTGAACAAAGCTCTCCCAGAAGCAACGAGAACACTCAAGTTGTTACAACAAAGAAAGAAAATCTGAATGTCCCTGAGTGTAATCCTGAAAACGTAAGGTTAACTTAAGAGTCTTAACAATATTCAACATGAAAACAAGAACATATGCATTTTACCAATCCTAGTTCATGCCATCATGAAACTTTCTATTTATGTATACTATTCACTATCTAAACATTGCACTTCAAAATTTCAAAATGCAGGTGTTCTTTGGATGTGAATCAGGTAGGTTTTCCATTAGGAAGTATCGGTATAGCCAGATTCTTAGGAGCATGGTGAACTTGAATTGTCAGATGTAAGGAAGGTAACCACGCATTCAACAGTGTGCTTGCTTTGACAACCACATGAAAGAGATCTGTTAAAATATTAAAAACAAAAACAAGCCAATCACATCCCAAAGGATGTGTTTATAGTCCTTTCCCTATAAAGCAAATAAACCTGGCATTACAGAGAGATTACATTAGGGGAAGAGAGACTCTCAGCCTTCACATGACAAGAGGAATGATGGAACTTGTACGCTGATAGATTTTTAATTACGGTAAGTGCCATGAAATTTTAATTTTGAAACTTAGGCACAGTTACAGATTTATCATGTCTGGAGGTTAGAAAGAGCAAATGACAACAATTCTGTTGAGTAAATTCCAAGGTAGGCTTCAATCTAGGTAACAAAATGCAAAGTATCTGTTGAAACTATTCACGATCAAAAAGAAATCAAGCTATAGCAATAAAATAAGTCCAAATAGGAACATAGGTTAACCAAGTCCATCTCTTTTTCTTCTATTGGCTGCCAAAGTGAACTTAGAAATATGAGTTTCTCAACAAGTTGCATTCCTATCTTTGTATATTTAAACATGTACTAAAACCATACAATTTAGAACTTAATAAGATTAATGAGCAGTAGAAATTAAATATTCTGCAATTGAATTCCAAGGGAGGAAGAAGTCAAAACTACTGGGGCAGGGAGGAGTGCTTTGTTGCAGCCTGAAGGGCAGATAGGTCTCTGACAGGGAGAGCATGCATGCAGGGGGAAGAAAGCAGACTAACGTGGCTAGAAAATGGAGTGCAGAAAGGAGTGAGATATGTATCCAAAAAGATAATTTGGGACTTAAGTGGAGGGACCCTGGTTTGAATTAGGAATATAGTTAAGGTTTTCCAATGTTTGTGTTCAATTCAGTGATAAGTTCATCCGTGATGTAACCAGTCCATCAACATGGCTTGCCTTTCCATTTATTTACATCTTTTATAATATCCTTCTACAATGTTTCATAGATTTTCAGTGTGGAAGTCTTGCACTTCTTTTGCTTTCTTTATTATGAGGTACATTAATGTGTCTAATTTAACTATAAAGGAATTGTTTTCTTAATTTCATTTCCAAATTCTTATTTTTAGCTGTGGAACTACAACTAACGTTTGTATATTTATCTTGAATCAGATTAAATTGTTTTAAGTGACTGTGAGCTCTGTGGTCAAAATGTGATGAGACTGGCCAAACAACTACATGAAATTCCAACATTGATGTCCAGTAGTTAAGATGCCACACCTAGAATAAGGGAGATAAATCCTTTATAAAACATTGCCAAAAAATATTGACTGACAAAGCATGGTCTATTCTAGATAGGGCACTTCTAAGGTCAAAAATGACCTTAGAAGGTCATTGGAGTGTGTCTACTACAGCTTGCAATGAAAGGCTGCAAAGTCAGGAATGTCATGTTGATTAAATTCATTTAGGTTTTTGCCAGTTACCCAACATGTGACCCTGAATGTTTAGACCTTCTGAGGATCATTTTCCTCTCCTGAAAAAGAGACATAAATGTATCTTACCTTATACAGCTTGTTCAACGATCAAACGACACAACTTAACTTAGTACCTGGTATATTGAGGGCACACAATAAGCCCTCAGTAATTATCACTTTCTGTTTCTTTAAGCTAATTCCTGTTACCTGAAACCTCAATACATATTTTTTAATTAAATATTTTGATTTCTCAAGGAGAGAACTTAAAACATGACACAGGCAGCCTTAAAAACTATATTTTTAAACAGAGTCCAGTTTTATTAATTGTTACTCTCAGGCCAGAACAAGATGCAACTTGTGGCAACAGCTATAAGGAGAATATTTCAGTCAAATAGAAAAGTAAACTCTTACTGAAAAATCCATGAAAATAGACTTAGCTACTGGAGGACACAGTATATGACTGAAAAATGAAAGACAAATTTTCTGATTATATTTAGGGAATGAAACATTGGAGTGAAAGAAAACAGTACTATGTTATGTTGGCTTCGCTTTCAAAATGAGATTCTTTGATCACCAGCAACCTCACTGAGCTGATGTGAGCACAGGCAACGTCTCAGTAAATAAATAAATAGCAAAGGTGAGGCATTCTCATTCCTGTTGGTCATACCTGAGACAAAATAACATAGTACAGAAAACCTGGAAAGGACATAAAACCTAGATTTGATTAGCAAATTTGCTCTTTCCTAACATGCCACCTTAGCAAATTATTTTATCATTCATATTCCTTGTCTATGTAATGTATAGCATCAGTTTTGAAACTTTTGCATGCCTGTAGATCACCAGGTCAGCCTATGAAATTGCTTAGAGTAAGGCTCCACCCCCACAGAAAATTAATCAACAGTCCCAGGGACAGCCCAAGAGTGTGTATTGTTTAATAAACTCACCTAGGTTTTCTTCTATCAGCATTTCCTGTTAAATTTTTTGAGAAATGTTATATTGGTTTCTTGCATGTTTATCATGATACTGGTATACACTGTAATTATATATAATATATAATTATATTTATAAATTTAGATAAAACACATAAAATGGTACCTATAACATCATTATATATAATTATTATATGATAGATATTAAGTATACAGAATTCAATTATATTCTTGTTCGTGTTGTACTTTATTCATTTTTAAAAAGCTGCTCTGCAATTTTTATGCAAAGTCTCGGTATCTCCTATGGCCAAGGTCCCAAATGGGAGTAGAGGCCACACCCTTCTTACTTCCTGCCCAATGCAGGTAAGACAAGGTCACACAGAAAAATGACCTCTGGATGCCTTGGCCCTTGTTTTGTGTTTCTTGGTCTTTTTACACAGAGAAATCACCAAAGGCTTAAGAGCATACAAGGCTATCAGTCTGGGATATGTTTAAATGACTTGAAAGCAGCTTTACTAAAATAACAACACCGGAGTCACGTGGAGAACGCAGGGGACTAGCTGCTTTATCCCACTTTCGTGCAGTTTGTAAATGTGCCTCATAGTGTTTGATAGCATATCCAGAAAAAAAGATGTTGAGCATTTTATTTTAATTTCCACTTAGAGATTAAGATTTACTACTCCATGTTAATTTGTTTTACCATGTTCCTGACTGCTGTAGGCAACAAACGTTTAATTTCTCACAATGTTTTACAAAAATAAAAAGGGGTTAGCACTGTGAGCACTTGCTCTGTTTCTTGCCATTACATCTGCATGCAAGTTTCTGATCAAAAGGGAGTTTATTCAACAGGAAAAAAAGTATTGTCTAGGAGAATGAGAGAAGAAAATGTTCAGAAAATAAATCCTAGAGCTGGAAGGAGAAAACGATGCCAGCTTCATCATGTGAAACTAATTTTGTCAGTTTTAAGAAATCCTAGCTTGCTTATTATATCCAATATTCATTATGTGGCATCTGATGGCCCTAGTAAGTTTTTGGCAAAGGCTTGTTTAAAAATTTGTCTGGGCAAGTCATGCCCTGTTTTTATTGGGCTGAGACTACCACCTACCATGGTCATTTTAGGCTACGCTCCATCAGACCATCTGAGGAGGCTGACTTCATACATACATGGTGCTGCTGTGCTATTTTATAAGAAGTATTCATCCCTCCAAATAATGTAGGAATGGTAGGTAGTTCCCTAAGGTCTTTAAAACAATTAAATATAATTTGTTTTTCAAATTAGATATAAATTTCCATGTTTACTCTCTTATGACATCTTAATTGGAAGCATGCAAAAATGTGAATTTAATTTTTCTTTTACCAGAATTAGTATAGAAATCATAAAAATAATGTTTTTTTATTTTGGTAAATAAAAATAGCCTAATAAGCATGCTTATATGTATTATAAAGATATTGACCATTAGTGGCTGTACAAATGTTACCATTGATATTTAGCTAATAGACGGGGAGCCAAGAGAACTAAACACTGATCCTAATAAAGTGGCAATATAGGCCTGCTTGCTTAGCTGGGAAGCTTTACACCCCAGGGATCACGGTGTTGCTCTGCCAACAGAGCTAACACTTCTCCCTTCCGCCCCCCAGTACCAGATTGCTAGGTGGGAGCAGGGGAAGGCAGGCACATGTGCAAGAGTAATGAAATGGTGCAGGGGGAGGTTCTTGACCAAACAGGCCTGTTAGTCCTGCCTGGGGAAAGAAAGAATTGGTTGTGGGTAAACCCATCCAAAGCCAGTGAAAGCTTGGGAAGTTCATAGGTCATTTTGTAGAAGCACCTAGTCTGTGCCAAACCCAAACTAATATAATCCCAGGGGAACAAAAGGCTCGTTCTCTCTCTCTCTCTCTCTCTCTCTCTCTCTCTCTCTCTCTCTCTCTCTCTTCCCTCGCCTCCCTGGTAATGCACTCACATGGTGCATGCAACTTTCCTCTCCATGACAAGGTTGGCTTAACAGCTGCATGGCCAACAGCCAATAGACTGTGTCCCTGGAGCAGCCGAGAACTAGGTAACCAACCTGAATGGGGACAAAGACCACTCAGCAGCTGCCTGTGGGCTACAAAGGACTGAGCTTTAATATGAAGCAGAAACTCTGGACACTATTTTTGCTTTGGCCTTGCTGAGGATAAGGTTGGACTTTTTCCATGGTGAGACAGGGGAAAATGGGACATTGGAAGCAGAGGGACAGGATTCAAAATGAATAAACCATCTTGCCACCACACAATCTCCCATGTATGGATTCTTGATATGCTTGCCTACCATACCATGGAAGAACCTAGTTTCTACCAACAGCAGTGTTGCAACAAGTTGACTATGAAGTTGATAGGATGCCTATTAAGGAACAATACTTCACATCATAACTGTTTTTCCCTTTAACTGTTGCTTCTCTGAGAAACACTAAGACTTTTTTGGACCCCATCTCAGGAAGTTTCCGCAGTGTCTATAGGGCACAGAAAAAGTACATTTAAAGATACTGTTCATTATAAGATGAAAGCATCTAAAAAGATTTGAGCTGTCTTCCAGCCGTATAGTGTTTTCTTTAATGTTAAAATGTAATAAATTTTCATTGTGCAGATGATCAAAGGCTTGCCTCCAATAGTCAGCTATACTTGCAATAATGGAAGCGCATACTCCACTGAAAATCTTTAGTATGTTTTTCCCAGGTCAGCGACCTAAAGTGATGCTGCACACACACACACACACACACACACACACACACACACACACACACACAAGTTTTTGAGGTCAAATATATTTGGAAAATAGTTTATATCATGTATCTTTCTAAAAGATTTATTAGGCATTTATGCATTACGAAGTGGATTTCAACTTTCATTGTGCATTTGCATTGCTGGAGTGCTACTTAAAAATGCAAGTCCCATATTTATAGAACTTGATTATCATCCAAGAGTATTATTTTTTAAACAACTACCTCAAGCAATTATGTGGACAGATCAATCAAGACCAAAACTCTAAGAAAGCGTGTGTTGAAAGTACAGAGAACTACTTTCAATACAAGTGATTAATGTTCAAGTAAACTTTTCCTCCAAGCTTATAGGAGTTATGAACTCCATTATTCAAAAATATATTTTGGATATCCTTCACTATACAGCTTGCTTTCTGCACTTGCCATGTTTTTTGAGCTTGATTTTGTATACTTGCTTTTAGTTAACTTTTAAAAGGCTGAATGCAAGTACAATAAAAACAATGACCAATTACATTATCACAATGAGAATCAAATAATTATAGTTTTTCCAGAGTAATTTTAGATTTGAGGTCTAACGCCAACCTGTGCAATATAAAAGTGAACATTTACTTATTTGGTTCTACTCCACATCTGCCTAAAATTCTTGGAAATAAAATAGTCAAGATTATGACTACCGATTGTTATTATTATAATTATAACCTAGTTTTCCACCATACTGTATGCTTATTTAGAAGAAAGGGGTTGTGTGTGATCATGTTAGAGCCTCTATCAAGTATACCTGCATTTCATCTTATTAAAAAAATCAGCCCTGGCTGGTGTAGCTCAGTGGATTGAGCGCAGGCCTGCGAACCAAACAACTGCAGTTCGATTCCCAGTTAGGGTACATGCTTGGGTTGCAGGCCAGTTCCCAGTAGGAGATGCACCAGAGGCAACCATACATTGATATTTCTGTCCTTCTCTCCTTCCCTTCCCCTCTAAAGATAAATAAATAAAATCTTTAAAAAAACAGACATTTATTAAAATTCTGGGAATGATCATATTTCATGTCCAACTTCTGTTTTATTCATTTATTGTTTATTCAGAGATTACATGTTGCCCACTTGCTATCCATTTTGATCTGATACGCGTTGCCTGTGGTTGCCTTCTAAACACAAAGAGGAAAGTGTTACTGAGTCTGTTAGCGGTAGTGGTGATGTTCTAGGGAGAGAAAGAGTAACTAGTTTTCAGAATGTCACAGTGAAGACAGATTTTTGTCATGGTGAGGTGCCACAGGCATAGGCGCAGACAGAAAGTGACATGGTGTATGGTCACATAAGAGCAATATAGTGCAAGAATAGGGAGCATATAAAATAACCTTGGTCTAAAATCTGAACTGGAGTAGGTTAAATCCCCTACTTGTAGAATTTGCAGAATGTTAGAGGTCAAAACTAGCTTAAGCCTCCTGTTTGCACCTTAGGAAACAAACTGACCTGTTCAAGGTCAGAGCTAACTGGTGCTCATGAACTATTGAGCTCATAAGCTCTGTCTTACATAAGAAAAGGATTTTGAAAAATAAAAAAAAAAATAAAAATTAAAAACCCCATATTTTTATACTAAAGGATTTTTATCATTACCTTCAAAATGTGGTATCCACTTCATACAGTGGATACATACTGCCAAATTCCATTTTGTCATTTTTTACTAATAAAAATAAATTCTTCTGGTGTAAGAAAAAATGTGTTTAAATACAGAGGCAGAAAAAAAGAAAAGGAGGAGGGGAGGGTGAGAGGTAGTAAGGAAGGGAAGATGAAAAAGAGGCAGACAAAGAAGGAAAGAAAATAATAGGAACAGAAAGAAGAGGGAGAGAGAGAAGAAAGAAAAACTCAGTATTTTCATCTTGGTTTTAAATAGAAGTGAAGCCCAGTTGGGATATACATCTAGGAATTCATTTTCTTCTAAACTGCTGAGGCTAATAAGGAAGATTAAATTTCCTGGTTAATAAAATATAGGATATTATACAAGAAATGTAATACTTTTAAGGTATTGAAGATTTTTTGCTGGACAGATTGATGATTCTATGGTTTAAATTGTTTCCTGGCTTGCACTATTGATGTTCCTGCAGGCATAGAGACCATTGGCATACTGATATCCTAAAGGTTAGATGCATCCCCAATGTAGTAGTTTTGTAATTCTTTCATTATTATTCTTTAATATTATTAAAGAGGGCACTATGCATTGGAACTGAACTGTGTTGTAGTAGCTACTGCTGATCCTCAAGCCCAGCATGAATGGTTACCGTGTCCTTGGGATCCCACTCATGTTGTGATGATTTTGTCCCTGCTTTGGGCTTTCAGATGGTATCAAAGTGAAGGAAGTGTCTCAGTGGGAAGAATTCCAGGGAGTGTTTCCATCCCCTTGCATTATTTAATGTACTTTCTTTGACTTGTTTTTAATTACAGCTTTTACAGGAGGACAAGGCATGTTCTATGAAGCATAAAGAAAACCTGCCAAACAATGGCACTGCAGAACCAGGGGCGACTCCACAGGTATTTAGTTTTTAGTTGGTTTTGATTATGTTGGTAAGCACTTCTTGAATCCATGTGGTCCTGTGAGTTTACAGGGGTGTTGTATTGGCGAATAAAAGATACTCCTTCTTGTAGTGTTTTTTGAAGTTTCCATGACCACTGTGCCTGCCACTAAGCTTTCAATTTTATTGCTGAGGCCTCGGAAAAACAAGAGTGAGGGAGATGTCCTTCCTCTCCCCCACAACCAAGGAACAAAATAAAAATAATCTGAGGATGAAAAACATGCATTTTTTTCCTTAGGGGAAAAAAGGGAAAAGGAAGACCTGGAGAAGCAGGGGAGGTACAAAAAGTACATGTCCCCGACCAAAGCGCATAACAAACAGACAGAACTCAGGAAGTTACTTGTGAAATTCTATCCGGACTGTTCTACATCTGACTAAAACATTATGTCATAGCAATTGTTAATTTTCATTTCACTTAATGCATTTTTCAAATTTTGGGTTAGATTAAATAGATTTAAAAGATTTGGCCAAAGTTTTCTCAAAATATTTTGAAATATCTTGCCGTGTGTATACAATATATTATGAATTTTCATAAAGTAGAGGTATTGACATATTTAAATTTATTTTTGTTGGCATTGGTTATCTGTAAGATATTTATTGAGACCTATTCATTTAAATTACTATTATATTTTAAGTTTTACCACATATGTATATTTTGTTTTGACTCTCCTCATTTTCTTTCTTTATCATTTGACAGAAGTTGCAAATGTCTCCCTGTACTAAATGTGAGGTGGAAAAAACCCAGGAAAAAAAATTCACCGGCTTTGAAGGAAGAGCAACGAAGGAAGAAAAAATACTGTAGATACCAAGAAACTGTGTTGAAACATCTATTTGCTATTGTCTTCATAACCTTTTTAAACCACAGGCTTAAAATGGAAATACTAAGTTTTTAAATCATGCAACTTTTTCACAATTTTATGTTCTTTATAAATAATCTTTAAATTTTCCAAAAGATTTCAGGCCAATTATGACCCTCAAGCAATAACCTAATTAAAATGAATATCCACAATCACAAAAAGTCATTGCCATCGGTAAATTTCCCAGTATAAATTGGTTTGTTTTCAACTTAAATGCAATATAAGATGTGGTTCTGATGATTGATTTGGGTATCTGGTACTTCCATGATCCAGTATTTGAAATCATTTGGAAGATAAAACATTTTATATCCTCAGCATTCTTAGAATCCAATTTCAATCATATCATAAAGAATTCGGTCCACACTGGCTGATCGGAGTCACATTGTTCAAGGCTGGAATCTGCCAACCTGAATATAATTTTTGAGAGTGTCCGTTGCTGTTCTCACTATGTTGAACCATGGCTAAACAGTATCAAGCCAAGTCTGCAAGGGATTTAGTCAGTCTATGTTATTCATTAATTGTGTTTGGTATAATATGGACAAAATATCTAAATGAATGACTATATTTCTGACACAACTAATTATATATTCTATACACACATCCCTGTGGTCATTTGCTGGAATCACTCCAAGTTAGAAATCAAGTTGTTAGAAATGCGTGGCATGATTTTTGATATGAAATTTGGATAGAGGAATGTGGAATAGAAAGGCGGTTTCAAAATGCAAATTTAAAAGCAGATAATATACTTTTTAAAAATGGGGATATGATCGAAATAAAATAGCCGTGTACAGCCAATGAATCCAGATTTGTACAACTTGAAAACAAATGTATTATTAAAACAAATCAATGGCTGTGATAATCTTTGAAGTTGAGGCTCTATTTAGGAATATTACTGCTCAAATAAATTCACTCCTGAGTAATCTGAACAGAGCTCACACGCAAGAGGAATTGACACTTGAGTAATTGTCTGATAAACAGGATGACTATAACATCAAACTTCCAGACTCAAATGAATGGATTAAATGATCAATCATAGTTTGTCTGCACCAAATATATATAGATCATTTACAGAAGGCTAATAAAACTATAGAGTTTGCATAATGAATATGCAAAGCAGCAAGGCAGTGAATTCTGGAAGGCTGTGTTACCAATACTTAATTTTATATATAAATATATATTTAAATATATATTTATATATATATTTGTGATTAGTAGATACAATCAAATTCTAGGATGTGATGGCATATTTTTTATCACAGAGACATATTCAAAAAGGTGTAGTGATTTGGAGACATGGCAAATGCTCATTGACACTAAATGGAATATTGTGATATATTCATGTAGTTGTACTTACAGATTTGTTCAGTGTCATCAGTATTTTTTCAGATTACAGGCTACCTAAGAATAAAAGAGTATTAATTTTATAGATGATCCCTAGAGTTTTCAGATGAAGTGACCACAACAGAAAAAAAGATCAAGGTCCAAAGTTTCTGTTGATTCCTTGCTCTAAACATTCAATTCTATCAGAAGGAATATGGTTAGTTTCTCAAGTCCTTTTCCTTCTAATATTCCGATTGTATCCACAAACCCTAACCATCTCCAAAGGGTTTTGAAAGGGAAGTAGATAATTTTGTTTTAATTTAATTTTGCATTCCTACCCTCACCCTGGGCCCCAACTTCACTCCTAGACTCTCTGGATCTTACAGAAAGTTAATCATCCATTTCACTTTAGCACAGTACCTTTACAAGGCATTTTGGAACTAATAAAAAGAGAATCAGACTGATTCTCTAAAATTCTCTAAAAATTTTCTAAAATTTTGTTCATCATGATGAACAATGAGAATTTGGCTTAACATTAATTTGAACAGCTTATTTTTTTCTATACTCTAAATTCTTATCCTAGTATTGATAATAAAATCAAGTTGCTTCTCTTAATTATTGCCATCCTCAAGTCTACTCCAAATGAATACAATGTATATACTTTTTCTTTAAATACAGACAGCATTATGTGTCCCGTAGAATTTACTGTGGTATATTCATCTCATTATTGTTTCAAAACAAAAAGGAATTTGTAGCAAAAGAGCTTTATAAATATTTTTAAAGAAATATTCTGAGAGCTCCTTTTAATAATTATGTAATGCTTTTTTAGTATGTCATATGACTTTAATGGATGCATTTTATTTCTCTCAATCCTTTAATTGCTTTAAAATAGTATCAGAGAGGTTTAAAATGCTTTACTTATACACATGGCTTTTGTCTATAAGAGAGGTGCCATTTCTTATTATATCTCTTAATTAATAGCTCTATAAATGGATGGTTGTTTTTGAGGAGTTAACATTCATAGCCTAAGTACCCTCATATGGAAGAATGCATTAACCTGAATGTTGAATTTAGATGCATAATTCTATTAGGTACCTATAATGGTAAGCAGTGGAAGATTTCTCGTTTTGCAGAATACAAACTGATTTCTATCAAGAAACATACTTTTTGATGGACATACTTTTTGATGGAATGACAATACAGGGATTATCAAATGATACCAATTTATTTCTCTCTAGTTTTTTAAAAATACTAATCATGTTATATATTCATTTTAAGTTAGAAATTTGTTTGGACTTTGTGTTTCCACTTGTATCTATTAACTATGTAAATTAAACTAGTGCCTCAAGTGTATAAGACCTAACTGAATGCTGACTGTATCTATCCAATGCCAACATTCTCAGATCAAAAGTGAAAACATCAGTAACTCGTCAGGATGTGATTTTCTGCGTGATCTCAAATCTCTAAATACTGAACATATTAAGTGGCTATTTTTTCCATTCATTAATTGTATATTTAGCAATGATGAACTGCTGGTTTGGACATAATTCTCTTTCATAACATACCCTGGATTATAAGTCTAAGACCGTTAACGCGTGAAGGAAACGTTTACTGTTAGAGATTGACAATGTGGGCAGCTGGATTAAAACAATTTCTATGAACTTTGAATAATGGGATCTTTTACTTTTATAGCTTAGGTACTGTAATTAGCACTAACTGAGGAAGAGGCTGAAATATTACTGACCCTTTAGAGTAGGGTGAGCTGGCCAGACCTAGAGAGTGATGCAAACACGCACTTGTTTACTGAGTGGGCATTTCTGTCCTGTGTACAGTCCCAAATGTCCCCAGATTCTTTGTTCACATGGCTCATGTAGCACAGTGTTTATGGCCCAGTGACGAACGATCAAATGTACTGAAAGGTAGCCTATTTTCCCTCAATAAAGATTTGTTACCAAAACTACAATGTATATTACCCTATATAAACTAATTGAAAAAACAAATAGTAACATTCTAAACAGTGCTTGCTTTTGCATATTAAGATCTAAGAACTTTTCAAAGACCTCATCCAGATATTTTCTTCAATCTGTCTTTGCCAATATCCTGAAAATCTTTTATTTTATTTGGAGTGTTTTTGCTTTTGTTTTAAATAGAGTTCCATGATGGCAGAAATTTTTGTCTTTTTTTTTCCCACAAATGAATCTCAAATGCTTAGAATGAGCTGCCTCATAGAAAGTACTCAAATATTTGCTGAATGAACTAATGCAGAACCCGAAGCTGCAAGGGAAGAGGGAAAGGAAGCCAACAGGGAGCCTATTTTAGTAGAATTGTCGCCATAAAATCACTTGGGGTTCTGCTGTCTGCTGCCCATTAATGGAAGCAGATGTTTGGTGAAAAAAGAAAGGAATCTTTAATTTAAAAGCTACACAATTATGGAAGAATAACAGGCTTCTACCTCAAAGCCAATTCCCTATAAAATGTTTTAAGGGAAATTACTCCCCAGGTTTTGCCAGATAACTTCAAGGTCACTTCTCCTAGTAAAAAAAGAAAAATCATCCTTTGGGATACACAGGCAGCTTACCTGGTTCTCAGGCCCAGGCGGGCTTCAGGCATCCTTTGGAGTCTGTGTACGCTAGTGTCCTATTCATTGCCCTCTGCCCTTTCCCCTGGTCACGGCCCTCCGGCAAGGCTCCTGCCTTGTCCCCGTGGCTATGGGCCACAGGCCTTCCCTAAGCTTCACTGAGCAGGGCCAAGCAGTGCAGTTCCAGTCATCAGCGCTGCCGCCTTTTCTCTAGCAGGAAGAGGCATTGGGCTTGTCACCTGGCCACTTGGTGTGGAGAGCTCCCTGGCCCAGGAATGCTCCAGTCCCTGGTCCCTGATCTGGACCTGGCTAGCAAGGGGAAAGAAGAAGGGATGAGTTTCTACATGCCCTCCATTTAAAAATCCTGCCCCCAAATCCTACACACAGCAAATGCCAGTAGAAGGGTCCTTTTCCCTGTCTGCGCTCTCCCCTGCCCTTTCAAGAAAGATACACAAATACTATCTTTTAGGGTTTTGTGGTTGTTCATGTGGTTTTTTTAGTTTGTTTTTTCCTTTGTCTTTTCCTCTGAAAGGTTGATGTATGGACCTGAAACTGTGACTTCAAGCCGAGTTGGTATGACAGTGCTTGAAGAATTGTGGGACACAGCACAATGTAACAGACATCATTCACGGGGCATGTATGTGTCTTTGATTGGAATCGCGATTTGACATTCACCTGGACTTCCCCAGGTCACTTAATTTCACCTATTACTAGCTTCTAAGGTCTTAGACCTTCGGTAGTTGGACTTAAATCAGAGCTTTTCCTCTCTATTCTCCTCCTGAGCCCTGAAGTTGTAGCAGAGACGACTTAAGGGCTGCTGAAGACACATGCAGAGGATGGGGCTCTGGACTCCATAAACACTCACCTTTAATGGAGTATCTATTACGTTCTTTAAATTTATTTGTCCATTACAGTTTATATTCAATCATATTTTGTATCAGCTTCAGGGGCACTGCCGCAAAGGGGCTAGAACACCATGTTCTTTGCAGCGGTCACCTTGTTGCTTCGGGTTCTCACTTGGCCCCATGCTTATTTGTCTTGGCGTTATTGACTATAACCCCTACGCCGTAATCCACATCTCAGTGGCTGTCCTGCAACTACCAATTTATGAAAACTTTACCACAAGTGAAAACTTTCAGTTTTCATCCATCCCCCACCCCTCCCCTCTGACAGCTGTCAGTCTCCTGTAGAGTATCTATTCCTTTTTATAATCTATCTGTTGGGCTTACACATTCTGCATATACATTCAATGGGAAAAGGCAGTCCAAAGTCCAGTTTCAAAGTGATTTGAATATCGCTGGATAAGATGAATTCTATGATCCTTTCTCCCCATTTATTTATTCATTCAAATGAATGGCCTGTCGTTCAGCCATTCCACTTTTCCATAGAGGATACAAGAGTAAGCAAAAGTATTAATTATGAATATCAATATTACACTTAATATGTGCCAGTCACTGTTTTTGATAAGGTGAGCAGATTAAGCAAAGAAAAAGAACCCTTAGACACAGAGAACGGTATGGTGATTATCAGAGGGAAAGGAGGTCGGCAGGAGGTAGAATCAGGGAAAGGCGGGTGAATGGAGACAGAAGGAGGCTACACACATTAGGTGGTGAACACAGAATACAATATACAGATGACATATTTTAGACTCGTACACTTGAAACCTATATAATTTTACTAACCAAATATTGGGGTGACATATAATCTTATTAATGTCACCCCAATAAATTTAATTAAAAGATTAGTTAAATATTCTCAGGGTTACTTGAAACATTAAAATTATCCTATTTCACAGATGAGGACACTGAGGTAGAAAAGCATTAATGAATTGCCAAGATCACACAGCTGATAGGAGGAGAAAGAGGGGTGTAAACCTGAAAAATGAGTTGCTGGGATCTGTGTGCTTTACCGGCTCACCACACTAAGTCTCCTGCAAAGGCCAGAGTCCTGCATTGGTGGGGCTTACAGTTCAGGAAAAGGACAGCATTAATAAAGGAAGCACGCAGATAAATGTGTGACTGCTGCAAAGAAAGACTACGGTTCTCTTTACAGCATCTTACAGCACACCGTGCAGGGGGCAAGGGGAGTGGATGGAGTGTGAGGGCAGTTTGGCTTGTATGATCTTCACTCAGAAAATTATACTAGCTAAGATTAATGGATACATACTATTTTGTATGGGTGTTCAAACTTCAAAAATTGTAGGTATTATTCTAGCTGTTTCTATATACATTTGTGTTTTCTGATGTTGGTGAGCATTTTAATTTGTAGATTCATAAGTTTATTAGTATGTGATTAGCCTCATATGTTTGCATCATTACCCAGGTATGTACATGCCTGTGTACATGTGTTCATGGATATTAATTCAGCAAAACATTCATATACCAGTTGAATGCTTATTTTCCCCCCTGATTTTATTCCTATTCACAGGTTTCATGCTGTTTTAACACAGGATTCTGAGCACAGTAGATAACTGTGCATGTATAGTTACATGAATGTCCAATGCAATGAATACACAGCTCTAATAATTATATGACTCACTCTGACTGCTCTAACGCAGGAACACTGCTAAAGAAAGAAGACTGGATTCATAAGGTTAGGGAAAGAGAAGTATTTTACTTTTCTCAAATGTACTGAGAGAATGATGTTAAACAGGAATTTGCTGAAGAAGTTTCCAGGTGTAGAGCCAGTGTTTGGTTTAAGGAGGAAATACTTAGGCTTTGTCTTTCTCTCTCCTTTTTAAATAAAATGATGCCTTATACTTGGTCTTTTCTCTGTGTTTTTTTTAAATTTTATTTAGTTATTTTTCAAGTATAGTTTTTTGTCTATTTTTCCCATCCCAGCCTCCCCCGCCCCTTGCTCCCCACCTCCCTCCCATTTCCACCCCCCTTAGTTCTCGTCCCTGTGTCCTTCCTATTTGTTCCTCCAAATCCCTCCCCCTTTTTCCCCTTAACTTCCTTTCCTTCTCCCCTCTGGTCACTATCCCCTTGTTCTCTATTTCAGTGTCTTTGTTTTTTTTTTTTCTGCTTGCTTGTTTGTTTTGTTGTTTAGCTTCCTGTTAAAGGTGAGATCATATGGTATTTGTCTTTCAGCACCTGGCCTATTTCACTCAGCAGAATGCTTTCCAGTTCCATCCATGTTGTTGCAAAGGGTAGTAGCTCCTTCTTTCTCTCTGCTGCATA